ATGAGTACTGTCATTCCTTAATATGGAGACAAAATTCGTAGGCGCCTGGCACTTCAGATCCAATCCAGGAGCTGCCATTCTGTGCAGGCTGCAATCAGGCGGCCTTGAATAAGTCACTTTTTATGCCTCAGTTTCATCATCTGTAAAATGGGGCTGGAGGGCCAGAAAGAGACAATCCTAGTTGACGATCCGGTATGTGATTCGAGACGTACTGAACCTGACAGTAAACACCAGAGAGGCCTGTTTTTTCAAGAACCCGGAAAGCATTTTGCTTAGGTCGATCAGCTAGCTAACCAGAAAACACGGCGCTGCCTGTCTCCGATTGTTTTCTTCATTAGGCGCGCTTCCTAATGTATCCTCCAACAAGAGAAAAATGGAGCTTTCTGATTGTATCAGTTTGACAGCCATAGGCAGTTCACAGCAAGGTAAGAAGGTACATTTTGGCGGAAGCCAGCATCGCATTTGATGTATTCTTAACTCGGCTAACAGGCAGGCTTTCAAGCCACGTTATCTGCCCCCACATCTTGACCTAATTTAACAAGTTGCCATGGGAGCCCAGTGAAGGTTGATGCAATTTTCTTATCTTTGGAGGAAGAACGTAACTGTGCAAGAAGCTGTGAAAATTCAGTTTCTAACTGATTTCCACACGTACATGCAGTAACTCAGACATCATAGGAGGAAAGAAAATCTATTTCTTTGAAAGTGATATGGATGGAGACCTGGGCTCCTAGTGTAAGGGGAGGAAAATGGGTCCTGCTCCCAGCTCAGAGACTCTAGACCAGGGGTGGGCAAACTTTTTGACTTGAGGGCCACAATGGGTTCTTAAACTGGACCGGAGGGCCGGAACAAAAGCATGGATGGAGTGTTTGTGTGAACTAATATAAATTCAAAGTAAACATCATTACATAAAAGGGTACGGTCTTTTTTTTGTTTGTTTGTTTTATTCATTTCAAACGGGCCAGATCCGGCCCGCAGGCCGTAGTGTGCCCACGGCTGGTCTATACATACATCCTTTCATTCAGGCCAAGGAATTGTGATGTAAGGGTCCAAATGCTCCTACTGTGTGGCCACACATACTTTGGAGTAATCAAAATTTAAGGGAGTTGGGGGCGGGGGGAGGCAGAACTTGAGGTAAAAAAAAAAAGTAGGTGTGACTTTTACAAGCAATAAAAAGGGTTGCCAGCACTTATACAATGATTTCCGCCTTCTAAGTCATTTTTTCAAACTTCAGCTCATCTTAGCATGTCTGCATAAAGCGAGAGACCCATCTGGGTTCCAGGCCCCGCCTGCTCTTTGGGCGGTGCTGGGGGTCACTTGGCATGCTCCCTCCCCTTCCCCATTCTCTAGGATGTATCTGAAATGAGAAGAGGCCACAAGGAGGGCTCAAGAGCAAAAACCCACCTCCTAGAACAGCGATTCTCAACCTTTGGCCCTTTAAATACAGTTCCTCATGTTGTGACCCAACCATAAAATTATTTTCGTTGCTACTTCATCACTGTCATGTTGCTACTGCTATGAATCGTAATGTAAATATCTGATATGCCGGATGGTCTTAGGCGACCCCTGTGAAAGGGTCGTTCAACCGCCAAAGGGATCGCGACCCACAGGTTGAGAACTGCTGACCTAGAATCAGTCTGCAATGTGGGCAGGAGATGCTCGCCAGGCAGTGAGTAGAGAAGAGCCATGCGCGGGCTTTCCACCCCCATCTGCCTAACAAATCCTGGACGTCACCGAAACCACAGCAGTAAGAAAATCCAATTCAAGTCTAAAGACAATTACACTAATATTGAATTTGACAAGATAGTGAACCCTCAAAAGCTCCTAGCAACTTATCTGCACTCAACATGTGCTTGGAAACATTTGCTGAAATAACTGATTTGCTACCATTAAGCTCTTCCCCGCCTCTATGTCTAGCACAACGTCTAGCACTTATTTGTTTAAATTAATCGATTTGGTTCAATTACATTTTCACAGATCTTCTACCACCAAGATAAGGATGAACACTTCTCCTTCGCTAAAAGTAGAAAAGGGTACAAGGTAAATTTGCCTAAAATCACACAGTGTGTTACAGTTGGGAGGGAGCCTGAGGGACTTCCGTTTTCTGGGCTATTGTTCTCACTGTGATCTGAAATAGTATGAGAAATTAAACCTACAATTATAAAGAAGAAACAACTGAATGGTTAAGATCCTTAAAAACTTTTTTTAATTCGCATGACTACTTTAGTCTTTGAGACCAATAATCAATAATCACCCTCCCTTTTCTTCCACTTGTTGA